GGCCTGTTCTGTGCGTGGAATCCCCAGCATTTGCATCCGCCTCGGCCAGCTCTGCCCTGCCCTCCGGCTCCCCGCGCCCCGTGGGGGGCGTTCGCCAGGTGAACCCCCGGGGCCGGCGCCCCTTCTCGAGAATGCTCAGCTGTGTGGATTCCAAGGCACCTGGGCAGCCAGGAAGCTGTGCCCGGGCTTTGGGGCAGGCTCCGGGGCACGGTGCTCTCTGGTCTCGCACTGGGGAGAACGCGCAGGTCAAGCCTTGTTTGCTGAACTTCCCAGCACCCAGGGCAGGGGCGTTCGCCAGGTGAACCCCCGGGGCCGGCGCCCCTTCTCGAGAATGCTCAGCTGTGTGGATTCCAAGGCACCTGGGCAGCCAGGAAGCTGTGCCCGGGCTTTGGGGCAGGCTCCGGGGCACGGTGCTCTCTGGTCTCGCACTGGGGAGAACGCGCAGGTCAAGCCTTGTTTGCTGAACTTCCCAGCACCCAGGGCAGGTGCCGCAGCAGAGGAAGGAGCTGCCCAGGGCTGCCACGTCCCCTGGGTCAGTGACCCCTGCTGAGGGCCGGCGCGACAGGTACCCAAGGAGCAAGGTGCTGGGTGACTCATCTCTGCCGGATGGGCACCCGGGGCGGGGAGGGGCTCCAGGGAAGTTTCCAGGAGAATTCACTGTGGCCTGGTTTCACGTTTGCCGTGTCAGGAAGGACTCGGCCCTGGCTGCCAGCTGGGTTGATTTGCGGGTCGGCCTGGGAGCCGGGGCCCAGGCTGGTGGCAGTTTGGGGCACGCCGCTGAGCTTGCCTGGAGAGTGGTAATTCTTCATTCTTTCCCTCGTTGGCAGCTCGGATTCGGAAGGCAATTTTGAGACCCCTGAAGCCGACACGCCCCTCCGGTCACCTGTCAAGGAGCCTTGCGACCCCGCGCTGGGACGGGACGCGGCCGAGGCCGGGATCCAAGGTAAAGAGAGGCCCCGCGTGTTCTGGTCTCGTACTCGGCTCCGGATGCTGGAAATGGGGTGGGCCGGGGAAGGGAGGCTGTTTGCTTGGCAATGCCTGGCCTGCATGGTTTAAATGCAGATGCTCCGGGTTATGCACCTGCTGCCAGGGGCCATTTTCAGCTTCGTGCAGGGTTGATTTATTGAAGAGCTTTCAGGGGCCCTGACGTGACGGAGTCGGCTCGATTCCCCGGCTCCGTCCCCCCCCCCAGCCGCAGGGCAGAGATAGCGAGCAGGCAGGAATGTGACAGCGCTGCCGAGATGTCTGGAGATCTGGTGTTTGGCTCAGGCCAGCGGAGGGCAGAGCCTGCAGCCAGAGGCGGCTCGGCCTGATGGAAAGGAGCAAAGGAGAGTTTCAGATTTTTTGCATTTTCCAGGTGCCCTCCCTAACGTCTTCCTGAAAACCTGCCTGGGTTAGGCACTGACGTGTCTGCCTGGCTCCCGGGGTCACTGCTCTGGCGGCTGATTGGCGGGTGCTGTAGGGCTCACAGGCCGCTTCGTCCCGCGGCCCCTCTCGCTGCCGGCTGCAGCTGAGCTGTTGCCCGGCCAAGGGGAGGTTGGCACTTGCGGTGGCACGGTGCAGAGATGACAGGGGTGCTGTTTGGACATTTGGGAGAGACTGAGTCATGGGTGAAGGGATTGGAGTGCCTCATGGGCGTTTGGCCAGAGAACAGAACCACAGCTGGGCAGCCTGACCGTCTGGGCATGCTGAGCCCGGCTCCAGGCTGCCAGGTGCAGATGGAGGAAGAATTCTTCCCAGGAAGATCGGGTGCCTGCTGCTAAAAACTGCCGCCTGGGCCGGAGGTCCGCGCCCGAGCGAGCTGTCTCCTGGTGGTGTCGCGGCCCGAGGGTGGGTGCCTTGTTCCTGGGCTGCACTGCGGGACTTGCCGCTGGGGCTGCAGATCTGGGAAGCTAACCGCTTGCCCTGCCGTGGTCATGCCCCAGCTCTCTGAGGGTAGGTCGACACTACAGAGTTAGTTGGAACTAGGAGGGTAATGTAGGCATACCGCACTTGCAAAGGAAGCCCGGGATTTGAATTTCCCGGGCTTCATTTGCATAAGCGGGGAGCCGCCATTTTTAAATCCCTGCTCGTTCGAACCCCGTGCAGCGCGGCTACACGCGGCACGAACTAGGTAGTTCGGACTAGGCTTCCTATCCGAACTACCGTTACTCCTCGTGGAATATTGTAGGGGCGAAGCAATCTGTGTTAGGAGGCTCTATCCATCGCCCTGTCCCCGAAACGATGGCTGTGAGTGCTGTGCTCACACGGCTACTGGACCGTTTAATGCGTCCATTAAACCCGCCTCAGAACAACGTGTCTCGGGTCCCCGGGAGGCTGGGAGCAGGGGGCATGGGACAGACGCCCAGGAGCTGCCCGGCGCTCCATGGAGTAATCAGGAGTCAGTGGGGTGGCGGGTACGGTAGGCGCGGGGAGGCTTTGCCTTCCCAAACCGCCAGACTGGCTACGCCCCCAGAAAGTACCATGCTCCAGGGCAGGGAGGCTGGGGCCGTGTGCTGGGCGGGGGTAAGGGGGACTTGGCTCTCATAGGGCGGGGCCTGGGTAGAAGGGGCGGAGCCTGGGTAGAAGGGGCGGGGCTGGGGGAGCCCTCCCTTTACCCACCTCCCATGAAGTCAGTCCAGTTTAACGATCACCTGCCTCGGCCCATGTAATAGGCATTGGGGCCAGCGAGGTGGGGAAATGGCTACGGGGCGCGCAGATGGGCACAGCCTGGCCCCATGCTCAGATGGGCTGGCGGGAAGAGAAGCGCGTAGATCGGCGGAGAGTTGTGATCTCGGTGTGTAGAAACGCACGTAGGTTGCGGAACCTGTCAGGATAAAACTGCCAGGCAGGGCCGGCCGGTTGTACGACAGGCGAGCGCAGGGCCGGTACCACCCTGCGTCGCCAGAGGCGGAAAGACAGGCCGGGCCCCTGTGCACCCTCTCTCCCTTCTTCCGAACGCTGCTCCTTAGGGGCCCGCCTGCCAGATCCCATTTTGCCGCCCTGCCCTCCCTGCAGGCACGGCCGCCTCCTCTCCTGCGCACACTGACCCGGGACCAGGGCAGGTCTGTGTCTGTGCTCGGGGATCCGACCTCTTGTTCACGGCGTGGTAACAGCATGATCACAGCCTGGTGTGTAAAGCGCCATTCGCCGCCGCCGGGCGCTTACGAGCAGCAGACTTAACCCAGACCCCCGTCTGTCGGTGAAACAGCAGTGAAATCCAGCCCCGGGGAGTCCGGCGTTCAGCGCGCGAGCTGTGTGCCAGCCAGCCGCCCGGGCGTGCTGAGTGCCCGAGCCCCGCGGAAGAGGAGAGGCGTCGGTGCCACACGGCGCGCACACGGAGTCGGGTGGAAAGGCCATAGATAGTAAAGGGCTGTTCCAGGCCCGTGACGTGCAGGCAGGGGACTCGGTGTTGGCTCATTAGCCTGGAATGTGTCTCCAGGTCTTTGCAGCCTGTTGCAGCTGCCGGATTTTCCTGACTCGTGCGCGTGGGCTCTGCATGGGCTAAGGAGCAGACTAGCAAGGGCTGCTGCTGTTAGTGCCTGGCCTGTTTGCCGGTGACGGGAGGTGAATCCCTGCTCTGTCCACTCCCTCCGGGCCACCTGGCACTGGCCGCTGTGGGCAGCCAGGACATGGGGCCGGATGGGCCGTTGGTTGTTCCTCTGTTCATCGCTGCGGGGTCCTCTCCAGACGCTCTGCTCCAGGGAGCGTAAACCGGGAGCACGTTCGCCGGCTCCCTCTGGCCACAAGCAAACCAGCCGGCCTGGCAGGACTGTGGCCTCGTAGAGCTTTGCCCACCCCCAGCACAGGAACCCTCCCGCCCCCATCAGCAAGGGCGCGTGAGGGTCCGTGGTTGGCAGATGGTGATGCTGCGGCTCCGAGAGTGGAAGTGAGTTGCCAGAGGTCTCGGAGGACGTCAGTGGCGGAGCTGGAGGGGAGCCCCGGGAGCCCGGCTGTCCACCCCGCAGGCCCTGGATGTGGGCAGCTGGTGAGGCTGCGGCTCCGAGAGTGGAAGTGAGTTGCCAGAGGTCTCGGAGGACGTCAGTGGCGGAGCTGGAGGGGAGCCCCGGGAGCCCGGCTGTCCACTCCGCAGGCCCTGGAGCAGCCATTTGCACCCGTGCAGCCACGGCCTGGAAAGCGCTCCGCTCTGAATGGGAAGGGGCAGGGCTGCGGGGGCCCGGCCCCCACCTCCAGCCCAGCTCTTCTCCCTTGGCAGGGTCTGCTGGCCACAGGCGTCTCTGCTGTCTGCAGCGGGGAAAAGCCCGAACAAGATTCCTCCTGCCTGGCCGTGCGACAGGGACCAGGCGTGGGGCGGATCCTTGGCCAGGGAGGATCCGTTTCCCCTGGGGCTGCAGGGCGTGTCGCTGGCGAGCCGGGTGGAGGAGAGAGGGGGCCAGGGCAGGGGAGCTGCCAGAGGCGTTGGGCCTGGCCGCATTCGGGGGCTCAGTGCGTGGCTGCCCGGGGAGTCGCTCTGGAGCTTTGGGTCGAGTTTCTGTGCGGGCCGGCTGGCAAGCCGCCGGGCGTGGCAGAGCATCGGCCGAGCGTGCCGCACGAGGGCTCTGCTCACAAGCACTCACGAGCACCAGGGAGCCTGGCGGTCTTTGCACGGCCCACACGCAGGTCTCCCACCCAGGACTCCAGCAGCCGCGGCCGGAGGGACTCTGGAATGTAAACGCACACTCGGGCCTCTGCTCCCTGGCACCGCAGAGCAGCCTGCCCCGTGGGGGAGCTGGGGAGCAGCCCCGAGGGAGC